AGGCAGTAGCATGTTCTGGGGTGGAACAGTGATGTGGGCAGGGTGGGGCAAGAAAAACCCGAACAATGGGCTCACTGTAACTGGCCCTGAGAGCCACCATGGGCTTTGGAAAGTCTGGGGCTCTCAAGAAGGCCCTGTCACTGTCTCTCCCTCAAAGCCCCACCTCTTCCATTCATGTTCATGCTTTGGGATATTTGATCACCACTGTGGTTTTCTGTCCCACAGGAGACAACCCGGCTTCGACAGGACTATGCTGCAGAGGTGGCAGGTACAATGACTCCTCCAGAAGGAAACCCTTTGAGGATAAAAGCCAGAGAGGAGCTCAGGCCCAGCGAGAGGAAGTGTGCAGTTTTAATTAAGAAGGGAACCTGTGTTTTTAATTTACCAAATGTCCCAAATCTTCCCCTGACAAGATCTCAGAAAAGGGGGGTAATTTTTGAGAATTGGAGTCAGAGTTGGGGAATAAATATTTTTGTATGCACGCACACTCCCTAGTCCTGAAGGTAGCACCTACACATACATTTGGCGTATTCACACGTGTTACTTCTTGTTCTTGGGAAGACACTCATGACTTCCAGCCTAGATGAGCTGGCATCAGCTGGGCTCTCAGTGAAGAAGGGAAACAAGGTGTCAGCCCTAGAGATCATGTGGCTATGGGAAAGTAATTACTGGTCACAGATGTCCCAAATCTCTTTCAAGGAGCAAACTGAGAAGAGGGAAGACCCTGAGCATACAGGTCCCCTATTACAGGTAGCCCTACTGAACTGCTTATTCACCAGGTGATTTTGGTGACTTTTTTCCAAATGCAGTCCCTGCCTCCATTTGTGACCATTCATCTTAAGATAGGCAGCTTCTAAGAGACATTGTTATCCTGACAGAGAGGGACAGGGAAAAAGGCCATTCTCAATGTCCCAGAAAGAGACAATCATCCAGGGTGAGGTCCCTTTCTCTGTGTCCACTACTCCCATCAGCTGATTTTTCTAAACATAAAAGGGTCAGCAACAAGTTCACTAGAGAACTTTTACCAGAGTTTTAACCAGCTTTCAAGTGCCACATCTGAGTTAACACAGAAGAATGCTTTATTCTTGGCTTTTGATGGCTGAACTGTATTTTCTTTTTTCTGGCTTACATAGATCCCTGAATATACTTGATTCAGTTCACATTGAAGTCAGGGTGTGTCACCCTGAATTGGAGCTGGCTCCCATTCAAGATGTAGGGAAAGAGCATAGATGCCACTTGCCTGTCCTCACCATGGAGCCAGGGTCTGCTGCTGAGGCTGAGGGTTAGGCCTCTGGAGGCTATCAAACACATTTGTTTTATCCCCTCTTTGTGTCTCTAATAGAAAAGGGACATCAGCAATTTTGAGTACCTCATGTACCTCAACACCCTGGCTGGGAGGACCTACAATGACTACATGCAATACCCAGTATTCCCCTGGGTCCTTGCTGACTACACCTCTGAGGTAAGACATTATCGTGGACATGCCACAGGTGTCCTGAGGCTTTTATACGTGGATTACAGAGTGCTCTAATCAGCAGGCATGGTCTCTGCTGGGAGGTTCATGTTCTGGACCTGGGTACTTGGGCCTCAAGGCTGCTGGGTGCTCTTGACCCCATGGCAGCCTTTGGAGTTTGGCTATCTGGATTCCTGTCCCAGCTCTGCCCATGGGGTGATCAGCATGACTAGCACATGCCTGATGGGAATGTGTTCTTGGCTCACTCACTGATAAAGACAACTGCAACCCATCTTCTGAGATGCTGTCATGGGCCACTGGAGTTGCACTGCAGCCACAGTGAGATGGGCTGTAGAATCTGTTCCCAGAATTAACAGGTATAGAGAGAAGAGGAGAGAGAGAAAGAAAGAGTCAGAGACAGAGACAAAGATGAAAACCCATTTTCCTTGTAGCTTGGTCCCAGTAACTGGGCTCCACCTAACATATGGGCTGAGACACATAGCAACAGGGGAGGCTGATGGCAAGACAGCTCACTCATCTCTTTTGACCTCCATCCTTAGACCTCAGCAGACAGGGAGACGGGGATGAAGAAATATTACACATAAGTGATGTGTGTGTCTGCATAGTGACAACTAGGCCATAAGGCAGGGTCCTGATCTCCTGGGATCTGGTCAGTGGAGAATGTGTTGAGCCATTTATGAGGGACAGAAGTTCATTGGTTCAGACCAGCCTGGCCAGTCTTGCCTAGAGATGCTTAGATGGCAAAGCCCAGGATTTAGGATAGGGAGACTCACTATTTTGTGACTACCCATTTCCACTTAAGACACAGAACACAGCAAACTTTTCTCACCCAGCACATGGTCCATCTGAGGTCAATGCCTTTCAAATGTGAAACTTACAAATCCCACTGTTAACTCACACTTTGCAATGCGGTAGCTATTTTGTAAGTCCTTTCTGCTTAGCCCATACCTTGTATTTAAATTTTGGATTGCTTACTGCTGTTTAAACATTGGGAGATTTCTCTTAAACATTGGGAGATTTCTCCTAAAAATCTGGAATTCCAATATCTTTTGGAAAATCAGAAGATCTGGCAACTATGGAAGCATTCTGAACTGGCAAGACGAGCAGAAGCTGCAAGTATGTCTCTGTGAGTCCCTTCTATCACTTACTAGGACCTCTTTCCCTGGCCTGGCTTCTGCAGGCAATTGAGGTGGCAAACCCCTCTACCCCAGAAGAACTGTGGGAATTCCCTGCTAGTGAAAAGAAAGGTTTATAAAGAAACATCTCCTCCTGTAAAGAAATGCAAACCCCCAGAATACTTGCCCTCCACCAACACACAGAACATCTCTGCTAAAAGAAACCATCTCTGAGGACACCTGGCTCTGAAGCTCTTCCTGTCCCCACTGTGGTGTATTCCCAAGGTCAGAGGCAGGACCAGTATTACATTCCTTCACTGCCCAGAAGGGAGTGGGCCTCCAGAAAAATTAAGCTGTTCCTCTCATGTCTTCCCCCAAACAATTGACTTCCAGCTTCCTGTAAAATCAGTTTGATTCTAAGCAGGGACCCTGAACTGTTGGAGTAAATTACTTCATAAGGGCAAGAGCCAAATGCCTCATAGGCAACAGGGATTCTTTTAAAAGCCTCTTTTTGATAACCGGTGGTCATGTTCTGATTTGGGTCAACTTGGAACAGGTTCAGCATGAACTCAATCTTCCCCTCCTCTTATTTCCCATCTCTCCCCTATTAAGTCTTTGTGGATCACTGACTCTGGGGCCATAAAACTCTGGCTAGCCAGCTAATCACCAGAGGTGGGTCAGACCAAATGATAATAAACCAATAAAGGGAACCATAAAACTAAAGACCATGGCTCTTGGGGCACCAGAGGGCTGTGGGGAGTTAACACCAGATGCATATCTGCTTTCTAGACGTTGAACTTTACAAATCCCAAGACTTTCCGGGATCTTTCAAAGCCCATGGGGGCTCAGACCAAGGAAAGGAAGCTGAAATTTATCCAGAGGTTTAAAGAAGTTGAAAAAATTGAAGGTGGGTAGATTCCAGCTTGATTATTTTGTGTGCAATGCTGTTCATTTGAATGCTTTGAAATGGTAAACAATGATTTAGGTGGTCACCCAGTCTACAAATGATTGTACTTGAATAGTGGTTAGCATCCTGGCTACATGGAAAAATCACCTGGAAGAACTTTTTAAAAATACCAAAGTCCAGATCTCACCTCTAGAAATTCTAATTTAAATCAGCCTGTGGCATGGCCCAACCTGGGTGATTCTAATGTCCATCTATGATGGAAAAGAATTATGCTAAGAGTTACTGACTCCATATTTAAAAGTAGGCAAAGGCCAAGGGAACTCAGTACTAGCTATATACCAGGTGCAGGCCAGTCTACATTCACATAGACAATGGTCCATTCCAAAGGGAAGGAAATTGAAATTCAGACAGTTTAAAGAACTTGTTCAAGATCATAGCCTCTAAATGGCACAGCTTAGACTTGACTGGCTCAAGAACCCAGTTTCAAAACTCTGTCCATCTGTACCTCACCTTCACAATACTCACCACATTCATGTGTTATCTGTTCTCTTATTGCCTGAATATTTTTCTTAGATCTACTCACTTCCTAAACTTTAATGAGTGTATTTTTAAGGTACTGTTCTCAATCACAGAGTAGCCTGCATGTCTACTGTCTCCAGGTGGGGCCGAAGCCCTCAGGCATGTACTTTCATTGCAGGAGACATGACTGTCCAGTGCCACTACTACACTCACTACTCCTCAGCCATCATTGTTGCCTCCTACCTGGTCCGGATGCCACCCTTCACCCAGGCCTTCTGCTCTTTGCAGGTGAGCTGTCACACACTTTTCCTGTACACATATGTGTGCATGCACACATACAGCTGTACACAGACTATGACTTGGGCTTCTATAAAGATAGACCCCTCTGCTAAAAACTTTGTCCTTAACTGGTGATTCTCACTTGATGTTGGCTCCTAGATTCTGGTTTAACCACCCTTTTCTTCACCACTTCTGCCCAGCAGAATCTTGCATAAAGACTCTAAATAACAAAGAATAAGAGATGTGAAAAAAAATGCTAGGCATAAATAAGATGTAGTGGAAAAGGAGATCAGGAATTGTGTAGACGAGAAAAGCAAGCAGTGAAAGATTAGAAAAACAAACACAGGAACAATGCATGTGACTCCAAACACCAGAATGCATAAATCTGTGCTAAGTACAAGCTGAAAGTCTCCAAAGGACAAACAAAATGGTTGGCAACAGAAACAAACAGCCAACCCAGGGAATGAAACTACTCAGCTTACCAACTGGTAAACTAACAAACCATTGTGCCAGCTTAGGGTTGCCTGGTTTCACAAATAAAAATACAGGCTGCCTAGTTAAATTTGAATTCCAGATGAACAGGTATTTTCAGATAAACGACGACTGATGCTAAATGATTATCTGTTGTTTATCTGAAATTTACATTTATCTGGGCCTCTTGTATTTTACCTGGCAATCTTAAAGGAGCTAGAAGTCTGAATACCAAATGGGTGGTGCCCAAGGTATGTGGAGTTCTGAAGGCCGAGTTCCTCATGGGCATCATTGAAAGGGTGCTGAAAAGCTCCTTGTTTCTCTTTCCCCTGTACCCTATCAATGGGATCCTGCATCCCAGAGGCACAGTTTAGAATGTGAAAAGCCATCAGGTAACCTAGCTGCAGCCAGCTGACTCAGCTGATTACAAAGTAGGTACACACAGGACTGAGTTTGTGGCTGACCTGATTCAGATCTTGCAGTGGTCCTGTGGAGAATAAGACCTGAGCCACATGGACAGAGGTCCTCTGAACACATGGACTATCTGCAATACCTGAGTCTCATCCTGGAGAAGTACATGTGTCCAAGAAACTGTGTGTTTTGGTGTGACCTCACCAGCAAGATCACTCCTATTGTCCCTCAGGACATTGCCCCTGAGAGAACAAGGGCCACTCTGGGTCAGCACTGAAGCTAACTCCTGAGCCTTCTGGGTCAGGAGTGGGAAGGCAAAGTCAAGGCACCTTTCCCAGTAAGGAGCAAACCCTCTTCTGTCTTCTGTTTCTTGGCACAGGCTCCTCTCTCCTTCACGGTGTGGTTTGTCTAGACATTGTATAACCCCCTCTCCCTGGAAATTCACTCAGAAATAATAAATGTGTGTCCCCTGAGCCTTTCTCAGGCAACAAGCATTTTAAGTAAGTTTGGTTTGGAGAATGAATGGCCCCAGAGCTGCCTCCCGTGCCAGGAATCCTATCCAGATGTTGCTCATTAATCCACAAGAAATGATGATCACTGTTGCTGATGATGGTGATGGATTCCGTTACTGCTTTTCATCCAGGGAGTTTAAATGTTTACATGTTCAGGGTGCTCTCAAGGCTTTCCCATGTTCCCTTGGCTGAGTGCATTAAAGCCAGAAGCCCAGCTCTACCTGTTGCCGAGGGTCTTTTCACACTGGGAGGAGATGGAGTGAAACAGAGACAGCTTCCACCATGAGATTTACATCCCACCTCTGCCACTTAATATATACAAAATATTCTGCAAGTTACATTACTCCTGGAAATGAGGGTTAACTATGCTCATCTCACCAGGCTGTTAAGAAGATTAAATGAGAAAATGTAGGGAAAGCCCCTGCCTGGAGTGATCAATCACTGTTTGTTCCATTCTTCTCTTTGCAATGGGGCAGATCTAATCCAAGCAGCTCTGAACTTGTTCAAGCTGGTCTCTGGTTTAAGCTAATTTAAGGCAGTCTGGACTACATTAAAGTATTCCAGCACAGCACGAGCCAGACTAAACAGGTGTACTATGAACCCATGCAGATATTTGGATAATGGCCACTCTGAAACTAATCACTAGTTTGAGCTTATTTTAGCCAGTTTGGTCCAATCAGGCCAAACTAGTTTGAGATGGTCTCACTGAGTGTGAGATGGTCAGAGCCAACTTTACCTGCTTTACCTGCTTTACCTGCTTTTAGATGGTACTTGGGAGTACCTTGGACCCCCATGTTGAAGTCTCTGATGTGACTCCTTGTGTTTTTGGCTCAGGTCTGGTTTGGCAGATTGGCCCATTCAATTGGAATCATCTGGGCTCTCCAGGTGTGCCCCTGGTTCTGTCTTACGTTCTGACCTTTAAACAACTCCTCTAGCGGGTCACAGCAGGTCCAAGCCCTCTGAAACCAGTTGAAGAATCAGCCATCTTCTGCTTTTTCCATAGAACAAAAGATGAGTTTTAGATCTTCTCACAGGAGTGGGTACAAAGGCCACATCTATAGAGGGAATGTGCCAGACTCCCCTTTGGGAGTCCTATGCCTCACCAAACCTCTTTAGGAATATTCTGGGGTCTTCTGTCCATCTCACCTACTTCCTAAGGGGCAGGACTGTTTCTTCTCACAAAACCTTTGTTTTGCCCCCTGTGGTTCCAAGAAAGGAGCCTCCCTAGTCTCAGCAGCTTGAGGCACTAACTAACTTCCAACTTCCATTTGGACCATGGACAGGTTTTTTATTCTTATAAAAAGAATGGGGAAGCTGCAGAACACATGCAGTGAGGCTTTCCACATTTGCTAGACACCAGAGCCAGTGCATATGAGTTATCAGCACCAGCAAGTGCACATTTTTTAAATTCTACACTGAGCAAACTGTGCCTCTTACCCACTAGTGTGAATGAGCCAGAGTGTGGGGGGTGACCATTTGTACTCCAGGCTGAAACTCAGGGTCAGGGCATTACAGCTTCAGCTCTGCTTTCTGACATTGAGCAGAAATGTCTTTCTTTGGGACTCAATTTCCTTATTGGTGAAATAAAGGCAGTGGGTTAAACGCTGCCTCCAAAGATCTTTACATAACAGCACCAGCCTGGAACACTCACTAAGCACTTACTGTATCCCTAGATGTTATCAAGTTCCTTGCATGTATTATTATTTTTTTTAACTTTGGTATTATGGTAGACTATATATAGTTACCCTTTAACCATTTCGAGTATAGAGTTCACTGATATTAAGTACATCACAGTGTTATGCAACCATTGTCACCATCCATCTCCAAAACTATTTTAGTCTTTTTGAACTCAAGCTGTACCAACTAAACACTAACTCTCCTATCATCCATGTCCCCAGCCCCCGGCAAACACTACCTACCTTCTGTCTCTATGAATTTGGTTACTGTAAGTCTCATGTAAATGGGATCATAGAGCATGTGTCCTTTTGTGACTTGTCATACTTAGCACAATGTCCTCAAGGTTCATCCATGTTGTAACCTATGTCAGAATTTCCTGAGACAGAAGAATATTCCATTGTGAGTGTCCACCTCATTCCATTACCTGCTCACCTGCCCACAGACAGTCAGGTTGCACCTACCTGTTGACTGTTGTGAAGAATGCTACAGTGGACTTCTGTGCCTTCCATGTGCCATCATCTCAGGGGGCCCATTTGCTGCAAGAGTGTTCTGTAATTAATCTTGGTCTCCCAAGTACAAAAGGTTATGTGACTGACCAGAGGTCCCTCAGGGAATGACGAAGGGTTCTGGCCCTGGGGACACTGAACCTAAAGCAGTCATTATGAATAAAGTAAGGAGGTTGCCCAGAGGAGACAGTGGGGGGAGGGACATACACCATTTTCAAGATCATATTTTAAAATGGAGTCCCTCCTTTGTGTGATGTGACACACAGGCACACATGAATGCAGCGTGACGTGGGCAGTCAGATAGTGCTGCGGCAGGCATGCACTGTGCTAGCTGGTGACATGTAGCATGGTGGTTCTACATGGAGTGCCTTTTCTGTCATGAGCTATGTGCTCGTGTGACATGCCTACTGTGGCTTGTTGGGCTGCTGACAGGCAGGCACAGAACTCTTTGGGCACTGGTTGGCTCATTGTGTGCTGTGCAGATTGCTGTGGACAGCCCTGGGACACACAGGGTCAGAATTGCAATGTGAGACATTTTGAATTTGGTGGAGGGGTGCTCCATTCCTCTCATGTTTAAATGTCATTAAGTTTGGGATGTTCTCAGAAGTGGGGCATAACCTCTATTATTGCTATTTGTTTTTCTGCCCCTGACCTGTTATTATAATGGAAGAGTCTTACAGTCCAGAAAATATGGTACAATCTTCCCTCAGTATCCATGAGGGACTGGATTTAGGACTCCCCACAGACCCCCACACACACAGAGACCCCAAAGCCATGGATACTCAAGTGCCTTATATAAAATGGCATGGTGTTTGCATAGAACCTGCACTTTAAACCATATTTATGCTATTTTAATACCTAATACAAAGTAATACTGCATAAATAAGTATTGTACGTATGTTCAGAGAATAATGACAAGAAAAAAGTCTGCATTTGTTCAGGCAGGACAAATGTAATTTTCTTCTCAAATATTTTCGATCTGCAGTTGGTTGAGTTTACAAATGTGGATCTTTTGAATATGGAGGGCCAACTTATATGTGTGTGCTGTGTGATCTGAGCAGATGGCACGTGGAGGCAGAGACCAGACACGTGTCAGCCATGAGTTCCATTATCCCTCCTCCCCAGGAAGTATGAGCTGCTCCTGTCTGCTGGAGTTGGGGACTGGTCCCCCTTACAACAGTCCCAGTGGGCTGTAAGTTCTCATGCTTCTGGCCTGCTTAAAGCCAGTCTGTAAGCCTCAACAAAGTTGAGTCTTGGTGAGGCCACCCCCTTCTCCATCCCAGCCATTTCTGCCCCAGCAAAAGTGCCACTTGCCCTCAGGCCTGAGATGAGACCCAGCATGGGTGGGGCCAGTAAGGCAGCCTGCGACGCTGCTGGCGGCTGCTGCATTTAATAAGAAACAAAAATAAAGTGCTGTGCTAATTAAGCCACAGCCTGTGTGCAGTCAGCTGTTACCAGCAGTGGGGAAGGGTTTTCAGAGCCACCCAAGGAGAGATGGCTGGGTTTTGTGTTCAGCAGATGCTAACTGCAGAGAGAACCAGGAACCCTGGGATAGACTTGGCTCATCCTGGCTGCTTTACCTGTATGGACCCTTCCTGGCATCTTCATGTGCTTCCTGCAGCCCAGCTCCTGCCTTGGAGGCTAGTGGCTGTCCCCTGGTATCAAGTGCTTTGCACAGGGCTGGGATGGTGCTGAGCCCAGAAGCCTGTAGTCACATTCTAAAGACAGCACCAAGATATGAGGTCCATAAGGGCCTAAAACTGTGACTAGACAAAAATCCTTCAGGTGTTCCAACATGGTATGATGAAGATCATAATAAAGACTATTAGAAAAGGTACATGTGATTGAGTCTGATGGTCCTGGGACAAACTCCTGGCTCTAGAACTTTCTCATTGGTAGTGTGTGTAACTAAGCTGCAGTTTCCTAATCCTGATGGAGGAGGTTGTGAGGATGAGTTAGGATTCTTCCATGCATGTCTGCTCTCCTCCTCATAGCAGGTCACCTCAGCATCCCACCAGCCACATCCTATAGCAAGGAGAACAGGTGGTTAGTCTGGCATCAGCCCACCCTCATTTGAGAGCAGGAATGACTGGTGCCTGGACTTCCTAAATGCCTGGTGGGACGCATGGTGGTTAGCTTTTCAGTGCATGTTAGGCCTGGCGTGTTTCTGTAGAAGCCCTTGGAGTGTTGCATCCAGCTGTGTCTCACCTTCCCACATTCAACCCTTTTCCTGGTGCCGTTCTTGCCTTGGAACTGCTCTGATAATGCTCTTTCTGCTTCCCACTCTATCCTAATGCTGGTTAGCCTTCCTTCCCCAGCCTCCTGCCCATGTCCTAAGCATGGAGGGTCCTGCCCTTCCTCCCTGCCCCCATATCCCACCTCCCACTTTCAATAATTTATATCCCTTGCTCTTTTTCTTTTTTGTGAGCCCCCAGTTGTCTTCCCCAGGGGCCCTGAGATTGGGGTCCAAGCTCTGTTTCCCAGTCCCTAGTCTGTGCAGGAAAAGGGATACAAGACTTGATTCATTTGGCACCACTTTCTGTGTGCCTAGGGTACCACATGAGGCACCATCACACACACGGACACACACACTCACACACGCACATACACATTGTTGTTTTCGCAGACACAACAATCACCCAAGGTTTGCAGAGGAGGGAGGAAGTGGTTAAAGAGTTTAAGGAACTCACTCATGTTCATTCTACAAGTAAGTGGATCCTGAAATTCCCACCAAGTCAGCCTAATTCCAGAGCCAAAGTGTTCTCATCCATGACACACTGCCTTTTTGGTAGACAGACTGTAGACAGGATCTTGTAAGTGAATTGTTTTCACAGGATACTTTTAAACTATTAGAAGAATATCTACAGTGCAAATAGGTTGTCAGTCTGCTTGTAGAATCAGTCTATTATCTAATTATGAGAGGGTCAATTTGGTTCAGTCCTGCCTGGAAGGACTATTTGACTTTCTAACCAATATTCTAAAAATATCTGTGTACTTGGGTGCCCTTGAGCACACTCAGTGTCTGAATTTCCTAGGAATGTGGGTCAAGAATTGGATGTGTTTTCCTGAGTCCTTCCCTACTCACGCTGGAGAGGGGTTTAAGAATGCAGTGATGGAAGGTGCTTTTCCAAGGGCATGGTGCACAAAGACTGTGTATGCACACACAAAAGGAGCAGTCCTTCCCAGGGTGTATGCAGATATAATAAATGTAGCATAATTATCACCTTTCCCTGATTTCAGCTTATGTCAATGTCCAGCAGGTGACCTTGTCAGCCTCTTCTCTCCCCACTACTCTGCTCTGAATGTTGTTTCATTTCTTAGCAAGACTAAGCACTCTTAACATATTTTAGCTGAGGAAAGATGCCTCAGATTATATTATTTCTGAGCCCTATAATATTGAAAATATGCTTCTGGTGTCTTTACATATGAGTGATGTCCTAAATGGGCAAAAAGCCACAGACCATAACTTTTTGCCTCAGAGCTCGCTGGCCCTGGCTTGGTCCTGGCTTGGCTCCATTGTCTTCTGGCTTGAATGTCACAAGGGAGAATCTTCTGCCAATAAGAAGTTGTTCCATTTTGACAACCATGACCTTGCTATTATTTTTAACCATCCATTTGAATACATGTAGTATTCATTATTCTTTTTTTATTATTGTTGTGCTGGGAGTATGTTGTGACATTTGCAAAATTTCTTACAATATACCAAATATGTCAGTTGAATTCACCCATATTCATTAGTCTTGATACTGAAGAATATCTGCATCATCAAAATAGGAGTAGATCTTGATTCAGGAATTCTCTGATCACTTTGTTTCCTTCTAATCTCCAGGCTTAATTGTGTTGCTGTTTTATTTCATTTGGATTTGGGCTTTCTTATGTAGACATGCTGTCATCCTGAATTGTGAACCTCTGTGTGTCTCTCCTCCTTGCCCTTTCTTCCTTTTTTTCTTCCCTACCTTTCCTCCGTCAAGTCCTCACTGCTAGCAGTCACCAGTTTATGTCAACCCACAGACTTACAATACAAGTAACAAAGCGACTCCGCTTTTTCTTCTAGGGAATTTGGTGTTTTCTTTTGTATTGCAGATGTGAGAAAACCCATTAATTTTGAAACAAATATATGCAAATACATTTATTAATATAGGAAATAGGAAAATCAGTTATTGCTTCCTTTATAAATAATACAGGCTTAAGTTTTAAAGATATTACTTTTGCTAAAATACATTAGACAGCTGTGAAAAAAATAACATTTTTCTTTGTGGTAATATCTTTAACCAGATTTGTAGCACTAACAATATTTCATATGTATATATTATTTTTATTTAATACAGGTAATCTTTTTATTACCAAATCATATTGTTTCTCAGGAGATTACCATCAGTGCTCATAAAAGCTGCAAAAGGAAAAATGGGATGGGGAGAAGCCATCAATTTCCTATGGATGGAAGGCTCAGGCTGCAGATCAAATACACAAATCTCTTAATACATTTCAATGAGTGACTCATTAGGTGCAGATTTATTTAGATTCCTCCCATTTTATTTTCATTTCCATTCAAATTTGATGGTGGACATCATCCCCTAATGTGGAAGAGCCACATCTCTAAGCTATCCATGTACTGCCCCATGAGCAGCTGGCTATCTTGGTATCCCTATCCCTGAGCACAGAATGGCCCATAGATCACACTGGACCTACTAGACTGGCACAGGAAATCGACCAACCTGTCCATACTCACCAAGATACCCAGATATAGCCCTCCCCAGGTGTGTGGCAAGTTCTCCCATCTTGGAAAGAGCTAAGACCCCCCTGCTGACCTTGGTCCATACATAGTGGAATGAGTTTGTCCGAAGGCCCAGGGATTTCTCTAGGCAACTGGAGCAGGCAAAGCATGCCCTTGAGTTGCATCTGTGAGTTTGGCTGCAACTGTTCCATTTCCCAAGGCTGTCATTTTGTCATTTTGTCAGCCTTGGGAAATTCAGTACACTCAAAGAAGATTCAGTTTTCTGCCTGCAAAATGGAAATAGAAATTCCTTCCTAGTGCTGTGAGAGCTATAAGAAATCAGCTATGTGTGTATTAAGATAGCCCATGAGAAGGTTCTTCCTGCTCTTAGTTTTTGTCCGTAGCTGAAGCTGCCCAATGCTGCCTTAAGTAAATGCTAATGGGAATCCTCACCCTCTGAAAAGTGAAGGCTGAAGAGTGTGTTCTACCTTTTGTTCTCGTAGCAGATGTGTGCTCTGCAGAAGTTGGCAGAAGGAAGACAAGTTCTTGTTAAACAAAGACCCTGCCTTGGTGGATACAAGTGAATGACAGAATTC